GCTCTGAGTTCAGAAGCACAGCCATGTCCCGCAGGTCCCAGGAGTTAAAAGGGGGCGGGAGGAAGTCAGGGTAGCAGTACTCCGGCTCCGCGTGGCCCTGCCCAGGGTGGAGGTCAAAGTGAACCGGATCAATCTCTTCAGCTCGAAGATGAAGATCTGGAGGCGTGAGAGGCGAAGGTGGAATGGGGATTCTTTCTGAATCAGAGAGGTCGCTGGCACTGTCCTCATCAGCATCTTCTTTGAGAATTTTCATTGCCTGGAAGTCCAGGAACAACTTGGTCCCTGAGGCCCCCCGACACCTGGGGCCAAGGGGACTCCTCTCGGGGTTTCCTCCTGGAGAAATGCTCCCCTTCTCAGTGGGCCAGGAGGCAGCTCCGAGGCTGCTTCTTGGCTGGGGGGAAACGTGGGGGAGGCGGGGCTTACTCTGTCTTTTTCTTGAAGAATTCTTTGAACGTTGCACTTTATTCCAAGACGGGCCCGCATTCATGTTGCTGCGAGAAAGAAAACTGCAGCTCTTAGTCCAGGTGACAGAAGCTGGGCTGCCTGTGACGAAGCAAAGGAGCACAGAGGCCCCCAGCCGCAGACTTCAGCTGTCACTCGGCATTAGAAAATGTGAGGCCTCTGAACTCCTCACAGAACAAGCTATAGAACAACCTTCCATGTAACACTATTTAGGAAGCATTATAGTAAACGAGAGCCAGAAGTGAATGCATAGGTTCTATTTTACATCAAATGTTAGCATTTAAGAAAAACACTATCATTTCGTAAAGTGCTTCAATTATCATTTTAAACCCATTGTACGTTTTGAAAAACACTAGTTTGGAAAAAAATCTCTCCTAGAACTCTCAATCTGTCCTGTTAGTGATGAACACTGTTTAATAACATGGGAAGTGAAATGCACAGCTTTCTTTTATATAGCGGATTTAAATGTGAACAAGACGTAAAACACAAGTTTTACAGAACTTAATCACTGATTGGTGGTGATTCTGAGCCAACAAAAATCTTACGTAAAAGTGCAGCACGTACAACCTACATCTTAAACCAAAAGCTTATTGGTGTTTTCAAATAGAAAACACACTCAGGAAAACTGTCTTTAAAAGGATAGGAATCAAATCACATGGTGCCTTATAACACAACATGAATAAAAAATAGGTTTAGTGCTATCTTGTGATTGGCGGGGAAGCAGCTATCACGCATACAGCCTGCATTACAAGCACAGCAACTGATTCTTCCCGTAATGTATTCTGAGGCAGGATCTCATATCAGAGTGGAAAATATTTTCCTTTCAACTTATTTACCAAGAACATAGCATTTTACGAGAATGAATAATACTTCTCAACAACGTCAGGTGGGGTTAAAAAAAACAAACTGGTAAACATGCTTGTGGAAATGTCAGAGGTTCATTTGTCCAGTGGTTTCCACCACACTAAGCAATCAATTACTTGAAAATGTCACTTCTTAATTAATAAACATGAGGGAAATTAAATCATTGCCAATAGCACAACACGTGCTCAGTAAGTGCTGAAGAATTGGATGAAGGAGCTGTCATTTAGAACTCTTAACAGCATTGTTTAAACTGCGGTTTACTGCCAGTTGTCTGTGTGCATGCATAAATGTTATTATCGGTATCTTTTTTTTATATAAAGGGAAACTAATGTAGAAAGATGATTAAGGGGCTAACCTAAAACTGTGGATTCTGCTAAAGTGCAAGAATTAAGTCCTCTGGAACTTTTACCAATTTGTAATGTTTAAAATCACCTTGCCCACAAGTTTCTGCCAGATAAGAAATGTAAGTGTATATTTCTTATCCACAGACATATCATTTTGTTTTCCCAACCATGCATATCTCAGTTCTCCCAATCTGGGAGAATATTTCAGATTGGGAGAACTGAGATAAAGTAGCTTTTGCAAGATAAAGCAAATATATGAAAAATTATTTACCTGCTTTTCTGATAAGATTCATTCACCCTATTCCCTTCCTTGAAAAAACACACGGCTGATCATCATCTAGGGTTTGGTGAAATGTCTGAAAAACAGACACGCGGTGATGAACACCCTGAGTGCATGCGCGCGCACACACACACACACACACACAGAAACAAACAGAACAAATCTAAGCAAGATTTTACTTTATAGTTTACATCACCTCTGCTGTAGTGCGTGAAATATTCTTGCCCAGCCCGCTGGAAGACGATGACAGCTGGGGAGGTGGCTTCTTTATTCCTCTTATATTTGGAAAGGACTCCTCACCACCGGAACTAGAAGCAACAGAACAGTGTCAGTAAGTACTGATTGCAAATGGTCCTGTCACCAGTACTGTGCTGGTTTTCACTTGTGTGTTTTTAAATATTGAAATTGTATTGAAATACTAGGGCATATTGCCCCCATTTACAATTTAATCTTTTTCTTGTTTTCTTTTCACAGAGGATATTAGATACAAGGTCACACGACTGTAAATGGGTTCCATTTCTCTCCCTGCACACACACACACACAAGCTCCTTGAAAATAACACGTTGGGGAAATTTGTGGGGCTACTTTAAGGTCAGGTGTTAATCTAAAGTTCCCATGTCCAATCATTTATTCATTCATTCAACAAAGGATTACCGGAGGCCTAGAAATTGGCAGGACTGTGCACATGTCCTGCTCTCATGGAACTTTGACTCTCCTGGGGAGGCTCCCTTAAAATTCTCCTGCCTTCACTATCACATCAATCCATGAAAAGGTTATCAATATTTTAACACATGTCATATAGTGTTATCTCTGTGACATTTTGTTGAATCGGACCACCCAAGGCTGCTTTTCCTCTTTTATTTTGAGTGGCCTGCTAAAAGTGCCCCATCTGAACGTGAATACGTGTTTCTTCTGTAATATCCCGTCTCTGAAAAACGGAAAAAGAGGTGGGATTATAGAAGATTTTTGTGTCCTTCCTAAAACTTTGCTGTATTACTTTTTCAAAATACCACGTATGCCACTTTAGTCACTGTACATACGATGGTGGTAAAAATCGCATGTGGGCTGGCACAGTTAATGAATTATACCATAACAAGCTTGATTCACGTTAGATGCAGAAAGTGTCCTTTACCACCCCTCCTTCACTAGTCTGGTTTTCTTTCTGCTTTGTCCCTCTGGACAGGGAAAGAACCGTCTAGAACGCTTGCTAGAAAGTGAACGTCCATCTGCTCCATTTCACCTGTCAAGCTTTACACCCTAGGCTGCTGCGTTTCCTGCGCAAAGTTTCTGAGGGGAAGAAGAGCAGAACGCCTCTAGGGTCTTAAGGATGCAGAAAACAAGCTCCCAGTTTCCCTGGTGATTCAGGCTTGCATTGGAACAAAGCTCAAAGTCTGAAAGTCTGCCTCCCAAGCGCCAGGGGCTGATTAAGGGCAACTGCACAATTCATCACAGGGTGTTAACTCTTGTTCCCACATCCTCCTCTCTGGCAGAGCGCCCAGAGACAGGCAGCGGCAGCACCGCCCCCTCCCCACCCGCGGGGAAGGGCTGGCGTCCCGGTCCCGGGCGGCAAAGCATTGTGGGTGACGCGGGGACAGGACGCTTATCCTCTGCGCAGCGAGGCGCCCTCGGTCTGGCCGAGGGTCCACATTGCAGTGCAGATGTCCACAGAGCTGGTTGGCCTAGAGCCTTAAAATTCGCCCTGGGCCAGCTTCTGGAAAGGCGGGGTTTCGCGCCGCCCCGGCCCCCATGAACCCAGAACCCCCGGGAGCCGCAGCATGCCTCCTCCGGGTCCTCCGTCAGCGCGGGCGCCGAGCTCCCGTCGACCGGCGCGCGGGCCAGGCGCACGCACACAGAAATTGATCAGACCTGTTTCGCGATCTCTGAGGCCACGTGACGGGGCCGCAAGGCTTCCTT